GGGATGTCTGCTGAAGTTGAGTGGACCAATTAGTCAATGCTAACTCATGAAGTTAGAAAACATATTCTCTGAGTTTTAACTTACATTTTCCTTTCAGGGAACAAAAGAAATGAAGTATGGACATACCAGCAAACCCGGCAGCTGCTCTGATCCCAGGGCTGAGAGCAGAAGCGGAAGACACTTTTAAGTGGTGTGATTTATCCATTGCGTATTGATTGACTGTTGTGTCCTTCAGCCTTCCATGGTAGAGTATTTCAGAGAATAATGCAAGCTGATGTTTTTCTAGGCTCCACGCAGGGCAGAAGACAGACATATGATCTGGGAGTTGGAAGAGACATCCTGGACAATTTATGCACCAGGCGTCAGGACTGGCTTATTCATGGCTTTTCAAGGAAGCCATGCATTTAAAGAGACAATTGCTGAACTGGCGATAAAATGCTGCTATCAGCAGAAAACACTATTTTACAAAACCCTTTAAAAGAATTCTTTCCCCACACCCCGGATGATGATGTGTTTAGGACTTCGAATGCACATTTATTTCCTCGTTTTCAGAGTTGTGTCCTGGCTGCAAAAACACCTGGGGACAAGCAACACCTTCGCTGGCATTGACTGAGTTGGTTTTTTGCAGGTCGGTGACATGAATCCTCTGGCAAAAGCTGAGAGGATGCAGTCTTGCAGTTGGCCCTGTCTCCAGAGACCACAAAGAGCACAGGACAGCTAGGAGTTAACAGGATGGCTCAGAGGCCGAGGAAAAGCACGCTCTGGGGACGTCTCCCTTCAGAGGCTGAATGAGAGGAAGATGGCTGGCTGGTGAAGCCATGCTGCAGATGATAATTCTCCCTGGGCAGGTTATAAAAGTCCACTGACAGACCGCAAGGTGTGGGAGATGAGGAACTGGAGGGCAGTGTGGCTGCCTCCAAAGCCACCTATCAGGGAGGAAGTGCAGCTTGACGAAACGACACCATGTCCATGACACGCTGGCACGAAATGGGCCTTCCTAGTGTCCACATGAGCTATGCAAATATTAGGCCCATGTGTTTATCAAAGCATGCTGGCTATAAACTCAAGTGGGTCAGGGCAAAAGTTCATGTCTGAGCTTGTCTTTCTGATGATGAATTACACAGATGGGCAGTTTTATAAATAACGTAGCTATTCCAGTTTTCAAATAAAGTATGCATTACATATAATATAGACAATAAGTCCTCTGTGTCCACATACACAGACAGAAAGACACACACACACACACACAGAAAGAGAGAGAGAGAGAGAGAGAGAGAGAGAGAGAGAGAGAGCGCCCTAGATTAGATATTATAAGAGATAGGGTTACAGAGGTTTAGTGGAATGTTAAATTACAAAACCTAATTTTAGTATACATACGCAAGCTTTGACTGGTTTTCAAATGAAAAGTGTCCATACTTAATAGCTAACTGCAAGAATGGAGAAACTTAGACAAATATGCCTTGACTCCAAACACAAGGACACATTCTTATTTTCCAGATTGGCTGAAACACTCAGATGGAATAGATACCAAATAACAAACCAAGAAAAACATCCAGCTCTCTCCATCTTTCCCCTAAATCAACTTCACATTTTAAAATATGTGGAATATTAAAAAGGCAGATTATGCCTTTTCTAAATTCAATTAAGTAATAACAGGGGAGGCTGAAGCCTTCAGAGCAATAATGAGTGATGGGCACGAACCTCTCTCCTCTCTCTCTCAGCCTCTAGGCGGTCCACACCAATCGAGAAGCTTTCATTCAACCTGGTAATGGGAAGCATCCATCACCAGTGTCTCTGAGGCCAGCCTTAAAGTCTTCCTGAAGTGGAGAGCATTATTAAACGCTTAAAGAAAACTGAAGTCACGGGAAGACATTTCCCTGGCTCATGAGAATGTAGATTAATCAATGGAGACAGTTTGTACGTTATCTTCACAATGTGAATATAGAGTGGCTTTAAACATTCCAAGTCCTCAGAGCCTACTTAAAAATAATACTCATAGCACTTTCTTCAAGTTCTTTATTAAAATGGCCCTGTAGGCAAACAGGAGTAGTCCAGATGTAAGTTATTTCATGCCCCGTCAACAAGCTACATAATACATTCATGCAAATGAGAAGACAAAAGAACAGTCACATAAAAGCCATTAAAAGTAAGAGCTGCTACCTGCCCGATTAGTCTAGCCTGTAGTGTTTGTAATCTGATACACATATGTGGTTTATGTTTTGAAATGTGTAGGGCTGGAGACGGCTCAGGGGTTAAGAGCACCTGCTGCTCTTCCAGAGGACCCAGGCTGTCCCTGAACCCGTGTCACGTATCTCACAGCCACCTAGAACTCCAGGTCCAGGAGTCGGGATGCCCTCTGACAGGTGGGCACACTGCTGAATGAACCAGCTCTTAGTGCCAACGAGCCGGCTGAGGCAGCAGCATGAATTCATTTCAAGGACAGGGACTGGGAAAGCTGTTAAGATGGCATTGCTGTAACTTAACAGAACAAACTGTCAAGAAAGCGGAGGTCAGACCCGGTGAGGTTTGGCAAACAGCAGAACACTTCTGTGCTTACAAGCATCTGCCCCCGCTAACCTGGACCCTGATCTCTTGGGTTCTAAAAAATCAAATACCTCAGCAGAGAGACTCACCACACTAGTCACAGGGGTAAGCTCACTGGCATTCAAATGGTTTGTTGTTGTTGTTTGTTTTTCCTTTTTTTTTTTTAAAGATTTATTTATTTATTATGTATACAATACTCTATCTACATGTACACCTGCATGCCAGAAGATGGCATCAGATCTCATTATAGAGGTTGTGAACCACCATGTGGTTGCTGGGAATTGAACTCAGGACCTTTGGAAAAGAAGCCAGTGTTCTTAACCTTTGAGCCATCTCTCCAGTCCTGTTGTTTGTTTTTTTTCAAGACAGAGTTTCTCTGTGTAATAGCCCAGGCTGTTTTGGACGCCCTTTATCCATCAGTTTGTCCTCAGATACCCAGAGATACATCTGCCTCTGCCTTCCAAGTACTGGGATTAAAGGCATACACCACCACACCCAGCTGACATTCAAATGTTTTGGCTTGTTTCACTTGGCTCCCCAGATTCTTTTGTGGGGATCACACTGCCTTATCCAGCTGAGAAGACAGGACAGGAAGCCTTGGAGACAGGGAAAGAATACAGAAGATTACTTAGCCTCAGCCATATATTCTCACAGGCATAATTCTGTTATTGCTTCGAAGATTAGAGCCAGACCTAGTAGTTCACAAATGTAACCATGGCACTCAGGGGCTGAGGCAGGAAGATTGCTTTGAGTTCAAGGCCAGCTTGGGGTATATAGCACAATTATGTTTTAAAAGCCGAGAAAAAAAGAGAGGGAGGAAGGTAAGGAGGGAAGAAGAGAAGCCAGAGGGAAGGAAGGGAAGAGGGAGGGAGGAGATGGGGAGAAAACGAAGGTGTGGGAAGAAGAAAGGGAGAGAGAAAGAGAAGACATGTTGGCATCAGCTAATCTGGTAACCCCTTTATAGTCATACAAACCGCCCACGAGAGGCTCATTCTTGCCTGAAATTCCGTTATTTTATTGCATAGTTGATTCTAATCTATGCTTCCTATGGCCTGCCCATGGGAATTGTTTTTTACTTTTCATATTCCAGGACCCTGGAGCCATCTTTGTGCTCCATCTGAACAGAGCCTGGCTGTCTTATCCGTGTGGGGACTGGAACTTTATGGCCTTCAGACTCAGCAAGCTTGGGTCCTGTCAAGTGTCGTCTGTCTGTCGTTGGGCTTTCAACAGCTGCTTAGTGCCTTGGACATTAGTTTGCTCATCTTTGCTTGGTGACATCACAGTTTGTCCTCGTTGACACTATTTCTCAGGGGTTTGCTGAGTTTTCGTGCTAATCACTCTGTGTGTAACCCATGGTGAGTGCACAGAATTTATCTTTCGTCTTCAAGCGTATTTCTTCTCTTTTCTCACCTTCCTGTCACTACAACAACATGCACAGAACATCTTCTCCCTTCTTGTCCAGATCGGCCATACTCAGAATCTGCACCATGACAGGCCCCAGGTGCTGCCTGTTACACCTAAAAGATCTCTTTTCGGTGGTGATAGTCAGTTAAACGTCCTCTTTTCTCACACTGTTCTGGCTACCTCTTCTGACAGTGCCCCCACTCACCATCTTGTTCTTGAGAATATCATGACAAAGCTCCACATGGCTTCCCTAAGCATGACTACACCCTGGCTCCTGGTTTCTTTCACACTCCAGTCCCACAAACCTCTCACAGAGGAAGCTGTCAGCACAGCATGGAGTATTTAGGACAGATCTGCACACAGAAATGCTGCCTTTGGTTTATAGCTGGCAGAAACTCCGTGTTTGCTGAATTCCAAAGCAGAAATAGAGTCTGTTTCCTTACTGCTAAATCCCCACTGCCTTACCAGCAGAGTCTTGAGAGGAATGTTTATTGAATTATTAACCTCATTCTGGATTTTATAATCACCACTTGTTTAATATGCAATTATCTTTCTAAGAACTTTGAAAATATTACTGAATCGATCTTCGATTTTTTTTGGAACATTAAAAATATTATCCGAATTATGTTATTGTAGTTTGTTGTGGTGTTTTGAGAGTCTCACAGGAAATCCAGGCTGGCTTTGAGCTTGTGATTCTTCTGCTTCTGCCTCCGGAGTGCAGATCAACCTCTGAGATATTCCAAGGCTCATGATAAGAATACAACGGTATGTCTCAGGCTTCAGGCCACTCCAGCATTGCTTTGACCTCTGGAGTCTAGAGACTGAGGATCTAAATTCAGTCATGTAGAAGATTATCATCTATTGACTGATTGCCAATAAAAACCCCTGACCTAGAGGCTCAGATGAGTTCCCCTGAGTGACAATGCTTCTATTTTAGTGTTAGGAGAGTTAGAGTCAGTATTTGCAAACAAAGATTTTAAGAGTTTTCCAACCCCCCCTCCCCTTTCTTGGGCCTGTCTAGGGTTTTTAGTAGTCAAATGCGGAGAACTAGTTCATTTCAGCTCCTTCACTGCCAAACCAGGGGGGTAGAACTGCTTCCACCTCTTTGCCTTCTCCTTGTCTGTGCTGACCAGGCTGTAAAGGAGCCCGCTGCATCGAACCTTGACCTTCACATTATCCTTGTTCTTCTTGGTCTTGACTTCCTTCTGCCAGGCTGTGAGCAGAAAGTCCTTGAATTCCTCAATTTTCCTAGGCATGGCGAGAGCACAGAGACAGCACCCAAAACACTCACAGCAGCAAGAGCATTCCTGCCCTTTCTAATTCCTCGATGGAATCGTAACCACACAGGACAGATACAGCTAGCTCTTCTCTGAATTTATAAAAATGGTGATTTTCTCATGCCTGTGATTCAGATTTGAGCATCTTCAGCTTCGCTTTCTAGTCGTCAGGAACATCTTTCTCATCTTAGTTTGGAGACTCAGATTAAAGTCCTCAAAGCGGCCGCCATGGCCTGCTATCTGAGGTCCCAGAGAATACATTGTAGAAGCTTCTCCAGTCCTGGGTGTCTCTGTCAGGGACCAGACAGAGCCCTAGGAGCCAGGGAGGACTCAGGGATGTATTTGGACCTGGTTGATATTTTGAATCTTACTCATAAATAACCTTTGGTGGCATAAGAATAACTGAGGGCAAAAAGCAATTTATTTAGAATGTTAGACTTTAATTTGTACTAGCATTATTTTGAGACAAGGTATATCAGTTACTTTTCTGTTGCTGTGACAAAGCACACAATCAAGGCAACTTATAGAAGGAACAGTATATGAGCTTATGGTTACAGACAGATAAGAGTCTGTTGGGATGTGGAAGCAGGTAGCTAGCAGCAGCTGGATTGGGATGCCTGGGTTCATATCTTGAGCCACAAGCAGGAAGCAAAGTGAAATCTGGGAATGATGCAAGGCTTTTAACTTCAAAGCTAGTTCCTCCAGCAAGGCCACACTTTCCAAACTACCCAAACAGCCACCAGCTGGAGCCCAAGTGTTCAAACATCTGATCCTGAGGGGACAGCTCATTTAAGCCACTACACAGTGCTTCACTGTCTATTCCTGACTGGCTTGGAACTTGCCCTGTTGACCAGGCTGGCCTGTAACCCACAGAGGACTGACTTCCTTTGCCTCTAGAGTGCTGGGATTAAAGGTGTATTACCACATCCAAGCACAAAGAAACTTTGTAAATGGCAGTAGGTAGCTTTATTCATTTTTCTAATCTCTACACATATAAAAAAGAGATAAAGGCATTTGAATCCAAGTATGGCAAACCACATTTATAATGTGTCTATTCTTATACAGGTTAAAACTCCGCACTCTCATGGAAATTGGCACTAACCTCCATTTTGAGTGGTTTCTATAGAAGGTGTCATTCATTTCTTCAACACGTTTGTCGAGTATTGTATCTGCTGCTATCCCAGGCTCTGGAGACTGTGCCTCAAGAATTCAATACAGAATTGTTGTACTCATGAAGCTTATATTCAAATAAAGGAAGCCAGATATTAAACACATTTAGTAAAGTATGTGGTATGTCAGATGATGTGTGCCATGGAAAAAAAAATTAGCAGGAACATGAGCTGCTATGAAAAAAATTAAAACAAGAGCTAGAGGCAAAAAAATGTCAAGAGAGAGCGAGAGAGAGCAAATGAAGTGCTATGTTCTGCAAGCCGTTGGGGGCGCTTCATCCAGGAGATTCTGGAGACTGGATAAAACAGGCAACCAGACCAACAAGGTGGAGTGAAGTTTATTAAAAGCAGACAATCTTAGTCAGTGCTCTGTTACTGTGAAGAGACACCATGACCACAGAAACTCTTGTAGGGAAAACATTTAATTGAGGCTGGCTTACATTCAGAGGTTTAGTCATTTTGGGGGGAAGTACAGCCCCATGCAGGCGGACATGGTGCTGGAGAAAGGTGAGAATTATGCAACCAGATCAGCAGGCAGGAAAGAGGAGAGAGGAGAGAAAAGAGAGGAAAAGAGGAAATAGGAGAGAGGAGAAAGAGGAGAGGGGAGAGGGATGACGGCAGAAGGGAGAGAGGAGAGAGAAAGAAGAAAGGAGAGAGGAGGGAGGAGAGAGACAGAGACAGCACTGGAAGGGAGAGGGAGAGAGAGAGAGAGAGAGAGAGAGAGAGAGAGAGAGAGAGAAAACTAGGCCTGGCTTGAGCATTTGAAATTCAAAGCCCATCCCCCAGTGACATACTTCCTCCAACAAGGCTACACCTACTCTAACAAGGCCACACCTCCTAATCCCTGTCAAGTAGCACCACCCCCTTGATGACCAAGAGCCTGTGGGGCTGTTCCTACCCAAACCATCACACAGTTCAAGAACTAAGAATGTAGAGCCCAATAGAAAAGACAGGTATGGTGGGTGGGGTGGAAAAGAGAGGGGAGGAGAAAAGGGGAGAAAGGAATCTGAGATATAACAATAAATGAATGAGCAGTGAGGTGAGGGTTTGTCCAATGTGTAAGATGTTGGTTACTTCAGGAAATTGTGCTGTAATGCCAAGAATACTGTATTTGTAATAACTGCTTTGACCTACATTTGTTGAGTGATTGGTAGAAATGTAAGTGGACTCCCCTGACTGGGATCATTAGGAAAAATGAAATCATGGAGCGCATTATGAGAAAGAATAGCTCTAAGGAAATGTGAAAAAACAGTGAAGACAAATCTGGCTATCCCATAATTTCCACACTGCCACTGAATGTATCTGGAGAAGAAGTAAAGTGATTCTTTTGAGTTATCAAAATAAGCCCACATGATTTGCTCCTGGATTGGTGTATTCATTCCCAGATGTTTATTTAAACCCCCACTAACCTGTGAGCCATCTGTGGGCTGGGCGAGGTCCGCAGGTTCCTTGTACAGGTTGAGGCATATTCAGATATTTGTATTTGAAATGGATCAGACGAGACAGTGATCGCATCAGAAGAGTGAGTCCTCAGAAGCCACAGAAAAAGTATTTCAAATTCCATATATACATGTACACACACACACACACACACACACACACACACACACACACACACACACGTAAAGGTAGGTTTTTTTTGGGGGGGGGTCTTTTACTTGTAGATGGGTGACCATGGGACAGGAAGTAACTTCTTCACTTAAAATACACAAATTTGTTATTTGTGTTGGCTAGTTTAAGTCGGCAACTCCAACGGGGAAACTAAGAGCATTCCATTAGAACCCTGAGATGCCTTAGGCAGCCGTGGGCCTCTACTGCGGTTATGGACTACAATTCCCAGAAGGCCTCGCGGCACAAACTTCTGAGGTGGGGGGGGGGTGCTCTGTCATCCGTGTGCGCCTCCGGGTACAGGCCGTAAAGTATGGCAGCTGCTGCGACAGAGGGGCTTTAGTCTGTGGTTGTGGACACAGCACCAGACACTGCAGGAACGGTGAGGGCTGTGTATCCGCGGCGGCGGCAGCCAGAATCAGACCGCAAGTCCGGGTCTCCCACGCCGCGCCGGCTGCTCAGGTGCTGTCGCTCAGCGGCGTGCTCGCCGTGCACAGGCCCGAAGGGCCCACCCAGCCGAGCTGCTCACCCGGCTGAAGGAGACGCTGCTGGCAGGTACTGCAGCCGGGGTAGGGACCAGGCGGAGGCGTGCTCCGCAGCCGGGCAAGCGGCAAGGCAGGCTCCCGGAGATTTGTGTCTTCTCTCAGTGTTTATTTTCTGACTGACTCAGTTTGCGAGCTCATGGCTCAAGAGACAAAGAAGTGACCACTGAACTAACTCTGGACGGAAACCCAGCGCCTCTTGGGTTTGTTACCCAAGCACAGGCGCTTTCAACAGTGGCCATTTGAGCTTTTTACAGGAAGCATATATGTGTAGACCTGGGCTCAGCTGGCATACGCTAGTCTCACCTTGATGCTTGCAGCCCAATTTTCTGTAGTTTGATCACTCCCAGGGTGCTTGTTTGGCTCTGGTGGATGAATTCCATCAGAGGAAACCCTGGCTTTGTACCCCAAGTTGGAAACTTAAAGATATACGTGAAAAGCACATAGACCGAGTTAGCTGGGACTTAGCAGACATCATTTTCACTTTTTAGTGGGCATGATAGTTGATCTTCTACACAAATACAGGTTCTCGCTCCCCACTGTGCAGACTAAGGTTCGAAGAGCTGGGTATATTTTGGAACTTGCTCTCCATTGCTCCAGATACTGCTGTAATTTTTGGAGCACATTCTGAGGAACAGTAAAATAGAATTTGGTCATTTTTTCTAAGCATTCTTCCTGTTGATTCATTTGCACTGGAAAAATTGTAGAAAACCATAGTTCATCAACACAGATCATTTAAAACAGTAGCATTAAAACAAAACAAAAACCCTTAGTTTTGTTTTGCGTGTGTGTGTGTGTGTGTGTGTGTGTGTGTAGACCAGAGGTGATGTTGATCATCTTCAGAGATGGCTTTCCATCTTGTATGTTGAGCCAGAGTGCCCCACTTGAATCCAGAGCCTGCCAGTTAGGCAAGTTTGGCTACTGAGCTTCAAGTGGCTGGCTCCCAGCATAGGGTGCTGGGCAGGCTTCACTGCCACCCTGTGTTTATGACAGAGGGCCAGACTGGTCTTCAGAACTGCATGGCAAGCCCTTTACCCTGCGAAAACCCCCACAGGGCCTTTACTGGATTCTCAGTTTAAGCTGTGCCTGCAGTGGCCTGTAGAGACGTGAACAGTGACTGTCTCTCCCCTAACCAGACTTACAGTCCTGTGCTTTCTGCAGGAGATAGTTGTTGTTGTTTTTAAGTCAGTTGTTCTTGATTCTCCAGAGTTTGGGCCTAGCTTGTCTGGGCAACAGTATGGAAACCTCTTACCTTGTTTAGTGTCTCCTGGAAGACTTAATCTATTTTTGTTTGTTTTGAGATAGGCTTGGCCTCACTGTGTTGTCAAGGGTAGCTTGGAACTCACAGTGATCCTCCTGCCTTAGCTCCTGGATGTGAGGCTTTCAAGTGTACATCTCCATACCTGATTTAAATTTGGTTTTTAGACAGGAGCCAGACTATTCTGATAGAGATTTGCTAAATGTAACAGGTAAAATACAATTTAAACCTTTATTGATAAATAGGTACATTGTTTCTCACGCTAAATGCTGCCCATTTGTTAAGTGGGATGGTTACCTTTGATTGTTGGCTCAAAAAATGTAGAATTCCCTGGAAAGGGATTTTCAGTAAGGGGTAGGGATGGTCTGTAGTGAGTTGGTCTGTGGTCTGTGAGGGATTGCTTTATTAAAGTTCATTGGTACAGGCAGACACATCCTGCTGTGGGTGGTACCTTCCTTCAGACAGCACATCGTGAACTGTGTCCCTGACCGGGCGATCAGCTGTCTCCAGCTCTGCAGTGATAGACAGCAAGCTGGAATGGCAAGCTAAAATAAACTCTCCTCAAGTACCTTTGCCAAGGTGTTTCACTGCACGTTCGTGTGGCCAGAGCAGGAGCTTTCTGTGTGCGCTCCAGCCCATCAGGAGATCTCATTAGGGGAAGCACTGTGCTGTCATTGGGAGTTTTGTGTTTCCCTTATGGCTGTGTTGCTTTCATTTGGCCTGCTTTGTTAGTAAAGTGAGTTTTTGACTAACGAACATGGCTTTTAGAGAAGCTTTTCACAGGATTAGAGCTCAGAAGTTTCTTGGGAACTTCATGAAGACTGATTTCATGTCTCCAAGGGTGTGCATCACCAGGCTGGTTTCTAGAAAGCAGCCACTGAGGAGTCACAGCCCTCCCTCAGAGCATGTGACTGCACAGTCTTCATTCATATTATCGGAACCGCCTTTCCCCAGTCCTCACCTGGTCAGAAAGCACATTCTGTCCATCCAGGTGTGACACACACTGATTACTCACAGTCAGCAGCCATAGGAAACATTCCTGCCTTCCTTACAGGGACCCTGCTACTGGACAGTCCCTTCTTGGCAGTGACTGAACCTTTCAAGGCCTAAAGCCTGCTAAGATTTTCTAGTGGGAGAGGACCTTATGCGTCATCCATAAACGCTCATCTGAATATTTGGTTCAGAGAGGCAATGGTGCTGTGTGCTGTGTGTGCGTGTGCCCTGCCCCGTTCCTGGGCTTCGAGCAAGGAGCGCCGCAAACACAGTACAAGGAGAACCTGCCAAGGTGTGCGGAGAAACCGAGGGAGATGAGTGAGTGTGCCCTTGGCCCACATTTCCGACCTTAGAGGAGAGCGCTGTGTCTCACCCAGCATGCCCGTGAGGCGCTGTCCAGCGTCCCACTGTGTCCCAGCTTCAGCGTGTGCTCGCCTCCTCTGCTGTTCCGGACAAAGCGTTCCAGCCTCTGTGTGAAGGACCAGGGTGAAGAGAGCAGTTTTACCAAGAGTCGGGAGGTACAGAATTATAGACAACTGAGTCAAAATGAAAGACAAATGATGTGGCTGTGGCCACATCACCAGCAAAAAACACATTTTACAATGTGCAGCAGGCTCAGCATGACAGCGCGTGCTTGTGACAGTGAGTGTGAGGCCTGAATGAGTTCAGGCTGGCCAAGGATACATGGAGAGATGCTGTCTCAAAAAACAAAGCAACAGAAACTGTACAGCCAGGGCCAAGAAGAGTGCTGACCACTAAACACAAGGAACCGAGTTCAATCCCTCAGACTCACATAAAGAAAAACGGGGTCGTGACACAAATTTATAATCCAGGAGCGGAGGCATGGGGCGGGCATCTGCTTCATGAGTCCCAGGCCAGTGGGACAGCTTTTATCAGAGACTAATGTGGAAAGATGAATGACACCAGAGGTGACTCCTAGCCCCCCCACACACAGATCCTTCCGAAATTACAAAAGAACACTGTTTCAAAGTCCGGGAACTAAACGCTAGAACTCATTTTCTTCAGAAAAACAACTTTTACTTGTCTATTTACTTTTATGTGTTTGAATGCTCTGGCTGCAGGTGTGTCTGTGAACCACGTGCATGCAGCGCCCACGGAGGCCAGAGGAGGGCCTCAGAGCCCCAGGGACTAGAGTTATGGAGGGAAGTGGGCCACCAAGTGGATGCCAGGAACTGAACCCCAGGTCCTCTGGAAGAGCAGCCGATTTCTTACATGCGGAGCCATCTTTCCAGCCCCAAGAAGAACAAAAAAGTGAGTCAGTATTTAAGCTAACTCGGTGAATTCTGGTAATACCCCAGCAGTGAGAAAATGACGGAAAGCTGGCTTTGACACGCCAGCTGGCAGTTCTCCGTTAGCATCTCTAAGCGTCTTTGATCTCCTCTGCCCTTCCCTGGACCTCCAAGCAGAGCACATCAGGGCAGTTTCCCCTCCACCTGGGTCTCCAGCGCCGCTAAGGTCGGAAATGTGGGCCAAGGGCACACTCATTCATCTCCCTCGGTTTCTCCGCACACCTTGGCAGGTTCTCCTTGTACTGTGTTTGCGGCGCTCCTTGCTCGAAGCCCAGGAACGGGGCAGGGCACACGCACACAGACAGCACACAGCACCATTGCCTCTCTTGGGTGTGCGTGGGTCTTTGAGCAAAGGTTTGATTCTGAGTAGAACAGCTAACGCCCCAGGAATGAAGCTGCTGTGTCCAGCACCGCTCAGGCATGGCCAGCATCCCTGAACTTGGAATACAGGAACTTTTTCCACCTTTTCCTGGGTTGTGACTGGCTTGCTGTGCCTTGACTGTGTGACCTGTTTCCTTCTAGGAATCTGGAATTCCCGGCTGCCACACAGGCAAGGTGCCTGGGTGACTGTTTCCAAACCCCAAACAAAACTTGGATACTATGTTTCCTAAGGATTTTCCTGAGAGAAGCGTCATATATACATTGTTGCATTTCAGCACAATTGCTGAGAGAGCAAGCCACACCTCTCCCTAAGCGGGAGGTTGAGAGCCCTCCAGTGTCCTATTCCTGGTTCATCCTGACTGGGGCAGGAATTTTGTTTTTTCAAGAAGGGGTTGCTCTGTGTAGCCTTGGCTGTCTTGGACTAGACCAGGCTGGCCTCGAACTCACAGAACTCCGCCTGCCTCTGCCTCCTGAGTGCTGGGATTACAGGCGTGTGCCACTGTGCCCAGCCATGTCAGGAGATCTTCCTAAGTCACAAGTGTCCTCTAAATCATAAATCCTATCTATTTTGAGCCTTTGGACATGGGATAGCTGTGGGACTACTGACAAGACACAGTATACAGCTTTTGGGGGCTGCTGTGACTGATTTCATCTCAGACTTGTTCACTTTAATCCTGATAGCTCTTGAGGGGAAGCCTTGGTTTGTCACAGAGATTTATTGGATTAATTGTTTGTGAAAGAAAATTGGTAGTAATGATTGAGAGGAGAAAGATCATTTCTCCTTTTAAATTTCTGGTTTTAAAACTCCGGATCTTACCTTCAAGGACTGCTGTGGTGTATATCTGTAGGTTAGGGTGTGTTTTCAGGCTTTCTGAGGTTGCATCGGTAGGCACAGGAATGCGTGTGTCACCGTCAGCCCCATAGACTGGAGACAAACTTTCATTGCTCTTGTCCACAATACTTCACATGACTCACCTGCCTGCCTTTGCTTCCCGAGTGCTGGGGTTAAAGGCATGTACAACCATGCCTAGCCCCAGAAAAACTTTTTTAAAAGAAGAAAATAAAGACACTGATGAAAAATGGGGAAGCACAATGAGAAACTAGTAAAGGGATTTCCTTCTAGGCCATCTAAAGTCAGCCCATCCGGTGTGTGGAGGGGAGGGCTCGGGTGCACTTGTAGACTTGTTTTTCTGTGACTAGTACTGGTGATGTCCTGGGGCCGACGCTGGGGTGTGCCTGGGGCTGATGCTGGGGTGTTCCTGGGGCTGACGCTGGGGTGTGCCTGGGGCTAACACTGGGGTGTTCCTGGGGCTGACGCTGGGGTGTGCCTGGGGCTGATGCTGGGGTGTTCCTGGGGCTGACGCTGGGGTGTTCCTGGGGCTGATGCTGGGGTGTGCTTTGCTGTGGTTTATGTGCTGCTCTTTCCTTTGTATCAGGCTTCTGCTTCCTTCCCCTGCCTGGAGAGTCAAGGCTGGAGGCCAGTGTCTCTCTCATGGAGTCACCATGCTGCTGTTCTGTGCTTCTCAGCTGTCTGTTGTTCCCTTTGTTCCTTTGTGACTTTCCTATATTCTTTGTCCCTGTCTCTCTTTTGAGTTTCCATTCTTCCCTGCCCTGGCTCTGCTCTTGCTACTGTCACATGGGGCCGCTTTTAATCTGCCATCTTGCTTGGAAGTGCATTTTAGGAACTGTGTTCTTTGTAATGTGTGGCAGATTTCAGATCTAAAGCAGTGGTTCTCAGCCTTCCAAATGCTCGACCTTTTACATCAGTTTTTCATGTTTCAGTGACTCTCAGCATAAAACTGTTTTTGTTGTTACCTCGTGAATGTAATTTTGCTACTCTTAATGGAGTTGTTATGTAAATATCTGATGTACAGGAAATCTGATATGAAACTCATGTGAAAGGGACATTTGACCCCAAAGGGGTTGTAACACACAGGTTTTGAACCTCTACAGTAAGCTGACAATTTGAGAATAAAATAAGGATCCGCATTCTGTTTCATATAAAAATAGTTAAGAGAGCCTGCAGAATGAACTAATATGTTAGGAGGCAAGGGTGGTTCCCTGGAGTGAATCTCATCTTCATCTCTACATGCCCTGAGCATGCTGGGTTGTGTCACAGGGGCAACCCGGGTTAACGTTGCTGATCACTTTAATAAGATTACCCCGAGTTTCTAGATAAGCCCAGCGAGCATCCTTAAAAGCAGAAGAGGCTCAGATCTTTTAGTTTTGTCGGTCTACTTGTGGGGCTCCTGTCCCCTCCATGTCCCTCTATCCCACCCCTCTCTTCCTCCATAAGACTCCCTGCTCTCTGCCCAAATTTTGCCCTGAGCGTCAGCATCTGTTTCAAGCACCTGTTTGGATCCTTTCAGAGGACCCTCTAGAGTAAACTCCCATCCTGTCTCCTCTCATCCACTGCTTCTGGTGTCTGTCCTGTTTGCCCTTCTGAATGAGATGTCAGCATCCTCCAGGGGGTCCTGCAGAGACCGACGCACTAACTAAGGACCATGCATGGACAGGACCTAGACACCCTGCTCAGATGTGGCCAATTGGCAGCTCAGTCTCTATGTGGATCTCTGGGTGAGGGGAGCAGGGGCTGCCCCTATTATGAACTTGGTTGACTGCTCTCTGATCACTGGCCCCTGACGGTGCAGCCTTGCCAGGTGTGATGAGCCTGTGAGACAGCAGAGCTGTCAGGAGCAATGTTAAGAGACATTGTTGGTGACAGTGACTGGGCAACACCCCTAAGACATTGAGAGCTTGTGAGACAGCAGAGCTGTCAAGGAGAGATAAGAAGATATTCATAGTAATAGTAACTAAGGACGCTCTTAAGGCAGCTGATGTGTGCATGTGTGTGAAAGAATGATAAGTTAAAGCTATGCCCTGAAAAATGTATAAAAACTGGAGCCAGAGCCCACTCAGGTACGCCAGGCCAGACTCTTTGGTGAGTACTCGAGAGACCGCCACTAACCAGCCAATTCCCGAACTGCTGCTTGAAAAGCCCAGACCACCTCAACAAACCGGCCCTGGAAGGCGGCTCCCAAGCAACTGCAGCTTCCTTCGCATCTGAGGCCTGGCTGGAACAGAGAAGCTCCGAGGCCTGTCAAGTCATCAGAAGACTCGTCTGAGGTCTGGCTGGAACTGCAGAGGTCGGCTGGAACTTCGAAGTTCCGGGACCTAGAAGACACCTGACACCAGAAGCAAAAGTGTCCGAGCCCGTACCTGTGGCCAGGTTGTATTCCCCATCAGATATAGAATGTGCTATGCAATCCTTAGATATCTGTGTGATTTGTGTGATTAAAGCAGCATTCAAAAATCATTCTGGCGTTGGCTTTTATCAAAATACCATGCCGCCCTTTGTGGCATCTCGGTTAAAGTCCTCCGGCATAATTAAGCGCTCGTGACACCAGGCCGTGGAGGAAGAGGATCCAGGCAGTCCTGATGAGACTTAACAAGCTGTGGGCAGATGGCAATGGTGGAGAACTTCCCCTTTCTGTGGACTAGAGAAGGGGATGGGGGGAATAGAGTGGGAGGATGGGACTGGGGGAGTTCAGAGAGGGGGCTACAATCGGGATATATAATGAATAAATTGTGAAAAAAATTAAATGGAAGGAAGAAAGGATATAATAAATGACATGATTTTTTTAAAAGAATTATTTTTTATTAAAAATTAAAAAAATTTAAAAAGTGGAAGAGGCACAAGACAGTCGGCCATGTGGCAGCGGAAGCTGCAATAGAGCAGTCACTGTCTTTGAGAAGGAAGGGACCACAAGGCTGGGAGCAGCCTCCAGGAGCTGAAGAAGCAAGGCACTCCATTCCCTCAGGGAGCT